CTCGCGGGCGACGACGCTCTATCAACTGACAATCAAAACGAGGAAGCAGCCGCACTCGGTGCCGCTCTGCAAGGTACGCTGCGTTTACAGGATCTGCAGAGCTCGCCGGATGACATCGGCACCGATCAAGCCCAGCAACTTTCGACTTCCGGCCAGGCCGTAAGCGAGTTTGGCGGCAGCTTTTGGGTCGACGACATGGCGGGTTTTCCTCTACCACCATTGGACTTGGATCCGCTGCCTCCCGGGCTGTTCAGCCCATGTTCGGGAACGTACAAGTAAGTAGATATTTTTTTCTATTCTCTTTGTCCTGCTTCATATCTTTTTCTTTTCTTTTGTTTCTTTTTTCTGTAACATTATTCGAAGTCTCACGACTCTTGATATGATGTTTGGAGGAGTCTCTTGTTTTTAATTGATATTTTTACAAAAAACAATCCCATACAGCACAGAACGTTTCAGCAACATTGCAGCAATATTGCAACATTGTGGCAACATTGCGGCAATGTTACAATGTTGCTGCAACGTTCTGTGTTGTATGGGACATGATTGATTCATAATTTTTTCTCTTTCTTTCTCTCTTTTAGGATCTTGCTTTTATTAATCTACAAATCTGATCATTCGGTAGAACCCATAAAATTCAAAGTTTCTTCCAGCTGGGGCTGCTCGCGCGGCGAATGCATCCCAAGGGCCGGCAACGGCGCGAACGGCGAGGGCGTTGCCGATGTCCTCTTATCCCTAAAACACGCAGTGGTGCATCCTGGAAGTCCAACAGCCGGCTATTATCCTACCGGTGCCGGTTCTACTGCAGCCCATCACTACTCGCAAGACTATGTGCAGAATCTAGGACCGTCGGTTCCAGGTCCGGGTCATTACGGTTCTGCGTCCGCCATGTCCGTCAATGTCTCGATGAACATGACGATGAACATGAACATGCATTCTGGGTAAGAATTTTTTTCTTTTCTCTTCTGTTTTCTTCTTTTTTCTTTTCTCTTCTTTTCTCGTTTTTCTTACCTTTTCTTCTTTTTTTTCTCTTCTTTTTTCCTTTATATAAATGTTACTACATTGAAAAATCAATTAAAATTGAAAGATTCATTTACTATACATTCATCTCCTGATAAATATTATAATAATATTATCTACTGATTTTATCCTAATTATTATCTACTATTTTTATAATATATATACTTTTTCTTTCAAACTAATTAATATTCATACAAAACATTTAAAAGATTTGTCTATTTGCCTTGGTTTTTTATTCTTAATATTGTCTTTAAAACTCTTATCCTTCAAGAGAGAAAGACAGAGAGAGAGAGAGAGAGAGAATCTTAATCCTCATTATTTCTATAAAAATATTTATCTCTTCCTATAGTAGCTGCCATCTCGTTTTCTGCATCCTCTTTGGAGAGAGTGCAGTTATTTAATCTTACCCCTACCTTTCTACATGTATATGTATCTTGTATCTTTGTGTGTGTATGTTTCTAGATACGAGCAAAGCTATTCGTCGGCGTGGGGTGTGGAACCTCTTTTAAGTCCCGCCCCTCAGTACGGCAATCCGGTGGAGGCGGCGGCGCAAACGACCGTAAGGGTGAATCAGGGTGCACCGACCAATAGCGGTTTGATCGGCCATCCCCATTCTCACCCCCAGCCACATCACGGTGGTGGCCGGCTGCAGCTCGGGGGTGAACACACGATATGCATGGGTACGACAGGTCCGGCGACTGCTACGGGCGGCGTCACCCCCGAGGATAATGGCAGACCCAATCTATGCAGGATATGCGGCAAGTCATATGCCAGACCTAGCACTCTCAAAACTCATCTGCGCACTCATTCTGGGGAAAAGCCGTTCAGGTCGGTATCTTTGAACGGAATCGTTAACGAGACATTGTAAAATTTGTCGAAAAGAACAAAAATTATTTATTTATCCTACAAATATTAAATTTTATTTAATTGTATTCATTTTCGAAAGAAATTACACTAGTAACAATACTAATATAGTACTGAACAAATTATCTGTTTTTTCTTTCTATATCATGAGATTATTAAATTGGAAGAAAATATACAAGTTATGCATTTGATTTTAGAGCGCTTAGAATGTAAATACATAATTGTCGATGAGACAAATAATTAATTAGCTTCAGATATATAGTTCAGATGTTCGCATCAATCAGATTCACCACGCACATATTAGACCTTCCCTCCAAACACTGCAATAATTCATTGCGCAACAAACAAAATCGCCAGCGCAAATAAATGTCAATCGTTCTCATTCTTCGTTGATAAAAAGTCAAAAGAATGATGATAAGAAAAGACAAAGTGGAGGACTGAGAGCCGCGATGCGAATGTAAAGTCTCAGGTGCTGTAGGAAAGATGAGAATTAATGTATGAACATACAAATAAATTACATATATATATATATATATATATATGTGTGTGTATGTGTGTGTATGTTTGTATGCAGATTACAGTATAGCTGTGCTTTAATCAGAATATAGAAATACACCAATTAACAGCACGTTTGAAAGTTTGTATTATATGTAAAAAATAAAAAAAATATTAATAATTGCATCATATATATTAAAAAAAATTATTGTTGCTATTATTTTAATTTTATAATTTTATAACACTTTGCATTATATAAAGCCAAATTTCTGTTATTGTCATAACTACAATCAATATATATATTATATTATATGACTAAAACACTTACATAATTAAACATAATAACATAATTAAATAAATTTAAATAATTTAACTCATAAAAGTTAAAATTTTATTTATATAGATATTAGACTTTATTTTACATCTTATATAGACAATAAACGGATAATTTTAATTTTTTCGGACATTTATCTGTCTGATTTCTGAACAATCAGTTCAATATCTGAATTCCTTGTGTTGGGGTCGTATCAGACAAATTAAACTGATAAAAACAGTTATTATACCTTTAATCTCACTAGCCGCTCTTTGCAAGCTTTATATAATCATCATGACTAAAAATTTAAATGCAGGCTAGATAACTCAATGCGCGCCGCATAGCGGTAAATGAACGGACTAGCGATTACCGAATACTGTTTTTTGTAATGTTTTTGGAATGTTGCTGTTACATTTGCATGAAATATTTCAATTACATATTCCAATATAATGTCTCAACAATATTACATTGCTATTTGCAAGATTGTAACATTCCTGCAATGTAATTGCAATATTCTGTGCTGTATGGGTTACAAGGCATGAGTTTGATTGGAAAAATATTCATATATTTATTTATTTATTATTTTATTAGATGAAGAGCCTTCTTATATCAAGAGATGCATTTCTGAAATGCTACACACAAAGCATCAAAAAAATGATTTCAACTTGCAAGATGATACGAGTCTCCTTGACCATTCCTATTTTCCAATTATCAAACAATGTTTGTAATCTGATCCCTTACTTTCTTCATGTTGTTTTTGAGTCTTAATTTGCTTCCTTATAAAGGAAGCTTTGTTTTCGTAACAAAATTTTTTTTCGAGTTTTTTATGCTAATGTGTGGAAAATTTGAAATATTGGATTAAATTTTTTTACATGAATAGAGTATTATTAAAGGATGGTTAGTATTGAATTTCGTGAGTATCGGTGAAAGGGTTCATTTTGTATAAAATTTTGAATTTTTTGAGAAATGTCGAAGCAATGTGCAAGTTTCTAATTTGCACAACTCTACTTGTTTTCATTGTTTTCAATTTCTTTTGTTGAACGTATTCGTATCTCCTGTGTTTCCCTCTTAATCCTTGGCCTCTCTCTTTATGTTGTTTTGTTCATTCGTTATCGAGACAACCTACAGATTAGTTTTACCTTTCTCATGCATCATTTTGATATTTTGATTTTCTGTTTCTCTTATTAATTTGACTGGTTGATTTATTTATTCAGAACTGTTAACGCTTCCAATTTTTTTGTAAGTATTTTTTTCACTCATACTTTTTGGCTCCCTTTTTGACAGTTATTTGTTGCACAACTTACGCAAAAATATCAAAAACGCCTATTTTAGCAACTTTGACTGAGGTTTCCTCAAAAACTTGACGATACGCCATTTTTACAGTCAGATTCGTAATCGCGCTAAAAAATCTACCAAAAATGATTTGGTAAAACTTAAGGTAAATTTAGTGTTGAACAGTGTTATTTGTCTCATCGAAAATTATGTATTTATATTCTAAGCGCTCTAACAATAAGATCAAATTCATAATCTTTTCGCGTTGCATTTTTTATCTTTGTATTGCTCTGCCTTGAATCGTTGCCATGTATTTGCGTTTTTTTAGTTAGTTCCTTTTAACTTTATCTGTATCTTTGAGGACCCAAAGTGGGTCGAAACAATTATGAATAAATTTATAATATATCGTTAATGTACATCTTATAAAGTATAATTTTGTTTTTATGCTCTAAGAACCGCATCTGGGCTCTCCCCAATTGACCTTACCTTTTTATATTTTCTTCTGATTTTATCATTAGCCCCGCTAAAACATTTTTATTTTTATTGCGTTATTATTATTAAACTGATTAATTTGAAGACTCTTAATAGTTTTAAGAATAAATAATAAAGATGTTTCTCAACTCTGGAGAGAGAGAAAGAGAACATTGTTTTCCATTCTTCTTTTGCTTATATATATTATAGGAAAAAAATTTAATATTTTAAATTAATATGAAACTTAATATTCCTTGAAGATGTCACGCGTGCTCGAAGGCGTTTAGCCAGGCGGCGAATCTGACTGCGCACGCGAGGACACATTCTGGGGAAAAACCATTCCGATGTCCTGTGTGTGATAGAAGATTTTCTCAAAGTAGCTCGGTGACCACGCATATGAGAACGCATTCAGGTGAACGACCCTATAGGTACGTAAAGAAACTAATTGTAAATTTTTCTAAATCGACCAAAGGATAAATCTCAACAAATTTCTACAAATAATTCTTTTATTAATTTCTTAAATATACACATATATCTTAATAATAAAATTCATAAAATATATAATCTTTTCCGTTATAGATTGTATAATTTTCTATCATTTTAATGTTCTTTTAGGAATATTTTATTCATTTATATTCTAATTTTTCACTAATTATTATTTATGCATTTCCTATTATTAGGATGTTCCAGGTCAAGTCAATGAAATTTCAGGGCCTTATGGGAAATTAAATTTGGAACAAAAAAGTTCCTATAAACATAGGTTCGGAAACTCTTCGTTAAAAAGTTTTAGCAAACTTTCTAAGTAATTATAATTATGATCACAATTTAATAAGAACATTTTTCTATTTGCATTTTCAATGTTTGCACTACAAATGCAGTGTTTACACAAAAACCATCAAAAGGTGGTTTTTTCAAGTTTCTGCTTTTTTCGTTGTTTTAAGCTTATTTTCTTTTGAACGCCTTATCAAGATTAAATGAAATTGGAGTAATTTTGTTTATTATTTAATTATCCATTAGATTTATTTCGTTACTTTTTTCAAATGAATGAAGAATTTTGAAGTAATTTTTAAAAATCATCAAAAAAACGTGATTTTTCGAAGTTTATTAGCTATAACTTTTTAACGAAGCGTTTCTGGACCTATGTTTATAGGAACTTTTTTGTTTCAAATTCAATTTCCCATAAGACTTTGAAATTTCATTGACCTGATCTGGAACACCCTGTATATGTTAATTTAATAAGATTGCTCTCTCATATTATTTTAAATTATTAATATTCTTTCACTATTACCCATTTTTCCAGATGTCGATTCTGCAAGAAGGCGTTCTCCGACAGCTCGACGCTCACCAAGCACCTACGTATTCACTCCGGTGAGAAACCGTACCAGTGTAAGCTATGTCTGCTTAGATTTAGTCAGAGCGGTAATCTTAATAGGCATATGAGAGTTCACGGCGGTTCCCTGACGTGACACAGTCCTCGCGCATCAACACAGTCCACGATGATGATGATCGATGACAGCGGTGCTGCGCGCCAATTTCCCAAATGCTGTCGTATACCTGTGATTCGATTAGGAACAAACTCGCCGGAAAAATAATAGACAGAAATAAGGCGAGTGTGTCTCTCACTAATAATATATATATATAATTTAATACTAGAATAATTAATTTTTATCAGTATAATTAATTGAAGAAAGAAGTTTCGATATCTTATTTATGTATTTTATTAATTTAATCGCATTATGCATACGAAAAAGTTCGAGACAAAAAACCGTCGTGAATAAACATAAGTAAGCCAATCGTCGGCAGTCTGTCAGCAGATTGATAGAAATTTGTGTTCTATTGACAGATCTTGCCGCTAGTTTGCATTAGACTGTGCTGCAGGTCTGTGCTTCATCTCTCTGTCATCATATTTTGCTGGCAAACTTTTCTATATTTTTAGTACTAGCCATCTCTCTGCTGATATCATTGCATACAACAAATTCTGTATGAAATTTATAGTCTTTCTGCCGAAAAAATTTGTAGCATCTTGCACAATTTGTATTAGATAGACTTAGCTATCTCGCATATAACTTTTCTGCATTTTTATGCCATCAAACTCGGTGAATCGAAAATTCATAAAAGTCGTAACAAAAAAATGTATTTTATACATTATTATGAAATTATATAATGAAAATTACAACGTAAATTATACATTAAATTATATATTGAACATTATGTTTGCGTGTGTGTATATAATTATATAATTATAATTAGGAAATGATATATTCTCGAAATCTTCTCGAAATAAAATCGCGACGATATACAATTTCTCGAAATATACAATCTAGGAACTCTTTGATAACTATGCCGAAAGTTTTAAACATTATAAATAATGTTACTCTTGACATATGATATTTAATATTTTTAGACATAATCAATTTTTTTTAGATATATATTTTTTTTATTATCTACAATGTTTCTCTCAGTTTTCTCAACATATTGCTTATCAAAAATGCATAAAAAATTGCAATATTTATTTTTATAAACAACTATTTCTTTTTAGTTATTCCATAAATACCATAAATATAATTTAATAAGATCCAAGTTAGAGGATATCAAATGGTGATCAAAAGTCAAACTGGACAGCTCTTTCTCTCTCTCTCTCTCTCTCCTAAGATTAATAAAAGATTATTTTACATGCTTCTGATTGTTAACTCTAATAATAGGCTTGTGCACTCTGTCTTACATGTATATTGGTCAGGATGGGTGTAAAATAGGATAATAGACTCGAGTGTGCAGCATATTTAACACAGCACACAGCAAGCAAAATTCCGTCGATATTATTGTACAAATATTGTATTTATTATAATTATTATTAATTATAATAATAATGTTGCTCGTTTTTATCTCGACACCATCTTTTCTCAAATATTTATTCTATCATCATCGAGTGTGTCAAGTGGCTCTTCTTCTTTTTTTATGTTGTAGTTCGCTTCTCTTTTTTTGTTTGTGTATAATCGCAATGAACAAAGATGTAGTTTTGGTGCTGTCAATTCTTACTCGTCGAGAAACGAAAAAATGAAAAACGAAATGGAAATAAAAAGAAGAAACAAATATTACAGAATATCGATTGATCTATCTATACAAGTATATTCGCAATGAAAAGAACTCGTTTAAAAACTAATTATTAATTAAAAGCAACGTATTTTTCTCTCTCGCTCTCTCTCTCGCTCTCTCTCTCTCTCTCGCTCTCTCTCTCTCTCTCCCCCTCTCTCTCCCCCTCCCCCCTTCTCTCTCCCTCTCTCTTTCTCTCTCTCTCTCTCTCTCTCTCTCTCTCTCTCTCTTTCATTTGTAATTCCACATTTTATATGTATTCTACAAGGATTATTTTTCTTCATCTTCCTTTCTTACAGAAAGAATTATCTCGAATAATCCTCTTCTGCGCTTCAATTCACAATTATCTCTCCGCATTTAAAACTATATATAAATGAGAACAGTTCTCTCCGTAGATTTTTCTCAAGTAAATTATTTTCACTCTCTCGCTTTCTCTCTTTCTCTCTTACTTTCACTCACACTCGCACTTTCTCTCTCTCTCTCTCTAAAAAAAGAAATATGTATAATGTTTTTCTACGTTATGTCGATACGACTGCGCCATGACGAGCTGATTCTTTTCTCTCTTCTCTTCTTCTTTTAAGAAGTAATAAGATTTTAATTTCGAGGACCACCTTGTCATGCAGTAGACGTATCTCATGTTTTTTATGTACGTAGTGTATTCTATTCAAAAATGTGTGTACATTTCTGTCACGCGCTCTATGTATGTATATGTATAAGTGTATTTGTGATGCTTTCTGTTTCTTCTCTCTCTCTCTCTCTCTCTCTCTCTCTCACACACATACTCTTTCTCTCTGATTCTCATCTCTTGCTATGTTATTTTTCTTTCTGATTTCTATATAATCTTGGATTTCTTTCTAAAGTCCAAATTGGAATGATTTTTCTTGCGTTTCTTCGCTAGGAAAAGCAAAGGTTCTATCGCAACAATTTGCAAATTACACCTCAGACACACACTTCCAAGAATACTAACTTCAGTCTATTTTCTTTCTTTCTTCCTATGTCAAATGATTTTTAACTCACCAAAGGCCATATTATATCATAAAGAATGTAATTAGAAGAAATTGTGTAATATTAAAAAATTTGTAATAGTTAGGAAAAGAAAAACTGTGATAAGTTTGAAAAAATTATAATGTAGAGAATTGTTATATACATATACATATACATATATATAATTTTTATAAGATTTTTTTTATAATCTTCGAATCACAGTAAAAGGTTTTAAGAAAATATATGCCTTTATTATGTCAAAAATTTTAATTGTATATATTGTATAATTCTTTTTTCTGGGATTTCCATGATTAACATTAAAATCTCATTGAATATTATTCGGAAAATTGGTTATTTATTATTTGTCAATAATACAATCTAATCTAAAAAAATAAAATTGGACAAATTTAATGGGGCGATTTTATTATTAAAATCACACACTAATTATTCAAAGAAAACTTTCAATTAAATTTTTTTTTTCTCATTAAATTATATTAATTAAAAGATAAAACCTCTTGTGACATATCAGCCGCTGAAAATTGAAAACAAAAATCATTTGCAACGTTCTCTGCAAATTTAATAATATATACATCTAATATCATTTTTTTACCACTCCAATAATCTCTCTTAAAATTCTTCGCTAATTAGTATAAATTAATTATTATCTCACTATTTGTTTTTATAATAGTATCCATCCCATAATAAATTTTCGAAAAAATTGGAAAATTACTGAATAAGAAATCGCAGAGATATGTGTTTCTCTGTAAAATAGATCATCTCCATAATATTTTTCCTTTTTATTTAATTATTGATGTCATTATATATATTATCATTTCTCCATAATTTATCTCAAAAAATTGTCCATTTCATTTTCCTTATTTTTGTCTCTTCTTAAATTCTTATCTTTTTCATAATTATATTCAAATATTTTTAACATCGCAATTACTTCACTTAATCCAATAATCGTATTATAATTATAAATCGATAAAAAATCGTTTCTCGTATATTCTACTTTTTCTCTCCTTCTCTTTCTTTCCTGCATTCTTTTTCTCTCAATTTTTCACTCTTTTTGTTGCCAATCTCGCTTTAAATCAAAGAATCTCACTTATCAAAAAATGATCGTTACAGTTCTAACACAAATTTTTTATATTTTGACAAAAAGTCTATTATAGAAAATAATGCTAATTATCGGTGATTAATTAATTATAATACGAATTTCGATCGCGATAAAAGTACTGCATTATTCTGAAACGCATCAAGGCATTTGCTTAAAATAAATTGCTACATATGTTACAGATTCTTTGCAAAAATTGTTTTGACATCCTAATCGTCTTCTGTATTCGTGTAGTATTTTCATAATTTGAAGTATATTTTTCGTTTCAATATATAATTTAGCTTAGAAAATCATAATCTCTACTCTAAAAAGAAAAATTTATATTTCTAAAAAATCGCTGGATCGTTTGATATTTCGCAGAGAATTATCGATTGTTATATAATTATTTATCAAAAAATTGAAAACAAAAACAACACATGCGAATCCAAATACAGTGTGACAAATTTAATGACTGGGTAAGAATATCGAATTATTTACATAATTAGCGCTTCTCAATTATTAAAATTAGGGTAAATAATTGTGCAGGGAAAAAATTTGTTTTCGTTTCTTTTTTATTCATTAAGCAAATATACTGAGATGTAAAATATTCAATATGATACACAATTATTCGAAATAAACATAATGATAGGAATATTATAGTGTAAGACGTATCGCGACATACAATCAAGGATAAGACAAAAAATGAAAAGAATCGATTTTAAGAAATTAAGACAATGCGATATTTCTTCCTAAATCAAAAATATTAAGGGAATTGCTTAAGAAATTAAGAAAATCGCTCATTAATATCTAACAAGATAAAAATCAGAAGACGTATCTTGATGAAAGTAATTAATACATATCAACTACATATAATAATAATCAAATTTATACGGCAATGAAACTAAACGTAATATCGCGTACAATACTTTATATATTTGCAACACTCATTTTCGTGAATAAAGCCCTTCTTTTTTTTTTTTTTTATAGAAAAGGAAGAACTGCTTAATTTGCTTAACATTCGTACTAAACCTTTCAATTATAATTATTATTAATTCTTAAGATCATGATCCTAAAGATCATTATCTAAATATCAATGACTTTCATTCATGGATAATTTTGTTTCGAGTACGTTCGTTTCAGTCGCGCTTTTCCTGCACTGTCATCATTCACTCTCTTTTAATATATTTATTACAAGTTGATTCAATTCGCGTGGGCAAATTACATATATATATATAAATGCATTATATTAGGTTGATCGAAAATTTGATTTGTTTCTTTCTATTATTAGAAAAAAAAGATAAAAATTAAAAGTTGAAATATAAAAAAAAGTGAATTATCTGTCTCTTTTTCTCTTGATCACAATCTGATATTATTATATCAATTTTCAACTATTATCTGTTTTACTTTTCTCTGAAAAGAATAGAAATATATAATTGCTAATTTAATGATTATAACAAAGGCAAATGTTTTTTATACATGTGTAATAGTGATAGTACAGCTGAACATACATATATGTATTACTGTATATTGTATATGTTTATTTAGTACTGCCAAGTGTGAAAAAATGTGTTTCTCAAATTTTCATTACGTTCAATATACAATCAATAAATTATATAGAATCATTAATTACTCACTTTTGTGTGTGTGTGTGTGTGTTGTCATGAATATATTAGATTGATGAAATGATTTATTCATTTTTGCTTTAAGAAAAGAACTTTATTTTAAACTTTTTTAATTTGTTATTAATATATCACATATTTTATATAGAATTATCTTATTTAGAGTTATATGAAAGTAAGAATTGTTTTATTAAGAGTCATACAAGAAGGAAAAAGAATTTTAAAATAATTTTAGCAAGATTCGCGCATATGGGAAAAAGAATTTTTTTCTTTTTTAATAATCAACCCAATATATTTACATTATTGTTGTTTTGTGTCGAATACACATTCGCAAATCTTAATATGTATCTCTCTTCTGTTTAATTAATAGTATTTCTTCTATAGAGCCTAATTAAACTTTATTTATTGTAAAATTTAGATATTTTTTTCTAAATTTCTTATGTAAAAAGAAAAAAAGTGCGAGAAAGAGCGCGGCTAAACCAAACAAATCTATGTTGTATAAAATTACCAGAAACCGGAAGATAAATCGCGAGATAGACCGACTGTCTTCATTATACTGTCATCATTATGCTCTGTCCAACTGTATTTGGTTTAATCGCAAAAATTACATCAAAATGCATTCTATCCGTGCGGCTCTATAAATGTAAAAATGCGAGCAGAAAATCACATATATGCACAAGTAGACTGCAACTTTCATCTCTTTCACACTCACATTCTTTTTCTCTCTCTCTCGAGCGCGCGCGCGCTCATTCTTTTCTCTTTCTTTTCTTTTTCACACACACACACACACATTCTGTTCATATCATTCTTTTATTTTCTCTCACTCTTTCTTTTTTTTAACCAATTTGATTGAATGCATTAGTGCGCACTGATGCCAGTTAAAGCCAGTTAACTTACATAAACTAGACAAAGACATGAATACAAGAGCCCTGATCAATAACATGGTCAATGTATATTCCATTTTTAATTTTGACTCCGCTTCAATATATATATATATCTTTAATGCTGTTAAAGATGTAAAAGTAAATAAAATTTTGAAAGTATTAAATCAATTATTAATCAATTATTCTTTAAGAGCCCACTAAATATTTATATACTTCATATAAGCCTTACGAGAACACTGCATAAATATTTTTGGAGGCAATATAAATTAATAATTAGAGAAATATTTAATTTTATTTAATTTTAAGATTTCCTGCTGGTAATTCGTGACATTATTTTATGCTAATTATGAGAATAATAAATGGAGAAAAGATAGTCGAAATTGCATTTCAATTTTGTGTTTATTGGTAATTTCAAAACAGTTTTCTCGTATATCACAAAAAAAAGATTAATATAAATATATTTTTATCGGTCTTAAAATATTAATATTAATATTTTAAATATTATATTTTAATATTAATATATTAATATTAATATTAATAGATTATTTATTATACTGAATAATTACTAATTATAATATAATACTAATTATAATTGAATAAAATGTTAATAAAGAATAGAAGATCCTATTTTTCTCGTCAAGTTACATTAATACCAACGTATATTCCATCAATGTTGTGATATGATAACTTGTGGTAAAAAGATGGCATCTAACCCAATTTGGCGACTTATGTATACATACATCTTTATTCCAATTTGTATACAAAAGTTTATGTAAAGTTATGTATAAACTTGTATCATTTTTGTACAACTCGTTACGCAAAAGTTTATGTATGTATCTCTACATCAATTTATTTACGAATCTTTATGTAGCAATTTATATTCAAGCTTTTAATACACACCAGAGCGCGCACTAATATTCAATAAAATTCATCTATTTCTTCCATTCATACTTTCTTGCTCTCCGTCCTTCTCGTCTACTTCTTATGTCATTCTCTCTCAAGCACAGATTCCCTCTAGAGTTTCTCGGAAGAAGCGGAGCGGACAGAATTTATGGGGCAGTCGTATCGGCCGTTCTTTCGCCATCATTATTCCCATCGCTGGAGAAGAAGTAACAGCAATTACTTCCAGTTAGCTGATTAAATGATTCAATCTAATCATCAGGGGGATAAAATTAGGGGTGGTGTAGTAGTGCTGTGCTGATGTGGTAGTTGCGTAGCAGCTCGAGTTTAGTGTGTGACTTGAGGGGCGGGGGGTGGAAGGGCGGGAAAGAGGGCAAAAAGGTTGATAATGGGGGAAGGGCTGAGTGGTTCGTTCACGTTATCAGAGGGTCGTTATTATATTATTCAAGGTCAACGGGGGCTCGGGGCGGGCGGGCTCGGCCGGGGATCGGGCTCGCTCACTATGCTGTGTGGTAGACCGGGCAGTCCGGCGGTGGGGGGGCGGGGGGGGGCGGGAAAGAGGGCAAAAAGGTTGATAATGGGGGAAGGGCTGAGTGGTTCGTTCACGTTATCAGAGGGTCGTTATTATATTATTCATATTATTCA